TGCCAATGGTTCTGTAGATTCTACACTTTACCGACGAGACTAAGGATGATAAAGGAAATGTTGGGATGAATATGCAATGTGAGAATGGTCTGAGTTTTGTATTAGACTGTGCAAGGAGATATTTTTATATCTTTTATAGAGTATTTAGATAAAATGAAATGAAATACAATAGGATTCAGCTTAGAATTAAGCATATATTATCCCCTATACTAATGAGTCGCTTTTATCCCCTATACCACATAGATAATGCCTTAGACCTCCTTGAAAAGCTGTCTAAAGGAGAGTGGGATAAAAGCAGGCGATGCAGAAAAACACGTTAGGAGACTTGTAGAACACGAGAAAAAGGAGAAGATGTTAAAAGCTTTAGGCTTCCTGAAAGTGGAGGCAGAGGAGGAAGAGGATGGGGAGGAAGTCAAGGAGAAGGAAAAAGTGTATGTGTGCGACTCACTGGAATCCCATAAACAAAGTTCCACGGAAGGTATGTGGGTAGTATTTTGAAGTTTTGATTGGTCTCCAGTTTGAGTTTGATAATTTGTAGAACATGTTTTTAAGAATTATATTTTAGTGATGATAGGTATATCATGGTTACTGTTTATTTTCATTATTAAATTAACTTGGAACTGAAATGGTACTGATTGCATACTCATTATTGTATGATATCAGGGACTAAGCATTGATTGGATTTAACTGTAATCACATGTGTTTATTTATTTATGTTTTTATTTTTCAGAAAACCATAAAAAGCACACATAAATGCGAGATCTGTGGAAAGATGTACTCCACTTTGTCAATATTAAGTATGCATTGTATATTTTTTACTCAATTCTTATAAAATATTATGTTAACTTGATTATCTCATATATTTTATTCTTATAACTTCTCTTACTTACAATTAAAATACAGAGTTTTGTTTGAGTGGTTTCCTCTTCCAAATTATATGTAACTGAATCAAGAGATGCCATTTTAGAAAATATAAAAAGGAATATGTATTTCTAATTTAATATGGCCTTAAAAGACAACGTTATTCTCAAAAACTCAGCTTGGTGTGTTTTGATTACAATAATGGTAAGATTATGATTTATATGTGCAAAACATGATTATTTATACACACAAAAACTGGATTATGGTATAAGATGTAATAATATTGATACACATAACATAGCAGTTCTTTAGACGTGTGTGTGTGGCATGATTCAATGTTAATTCCAACTGTTTTGGATCTGAAGGTTCTGTTTTTGCCATAGATGAACATGAATAATAAGCTGTAGTTCCATAATAGACTAAAGGGAAAGCTTGAAGTATTATTGACTTTAACATTCAAATTTTGCCCTTTTCAGAAGCACACCAAGTCCGCCATAGGAAAAAAGAGGATCTGCCGTTTGCTTGTGAGAGTTGCGACTTCCGCGCTGCTTCGAAAATCGAGCTTTTTAGACATGCATACAAACACACCAGCAAACAGATGTACATTTGTGAAATTTGTGGTAGCACTTTCTCAAGGGACACCTGCCTGCGCGAGCATATTGAGTATGTGCATGTAAAGGCTAACAAGTTAAAATGTGCTCAGGTGAGTATTTTGTACATTCACAAAACTGTTTCAAAGTAGAACATAAAGTTGGACCATCGAATGTTAAATATTTCAAGTGTTCTAGGTGTTTGATGATTGTATTTAGTACTTGGTAACTTCAAGTTGATACCCAAATGATTAAAGATGATATAGAATAAAATGATATAGATTGCATATAAAAATTATTTATAGAAGTGCTTGTGAAAACCAAAGAAGTGAATTGTTATTGTTATTATTATTATCATTCTCATCATTTTATTATTATTATTATTATTTTATTTCTATTATTATTATTAATTTTGTCATTATTATTATTATTATTATTATTATTATTATTATTATTATTATTATTATTTTATATTTTTTTTTTTTTATTATTATTATTATTATTATTATTATTATTAATTATTATTATTATTATTATTATTATTATTATTATTATTATTATTATTATTATATTATATTACTATTATATACTATTACTATTAACTATATTATTATTATTTATTATTATTATTATTATTATTTATTATTATTATTATTATTATTATTATTATTATTATTATTATTATTATATTATTATTATTATTGATATTATTATTACTATTGTTTTGATATTGTTATTATTATTTTTATTATAATAATTTTATTATATTATATTATAATAATAATTATTATTATTATTCATATTTTTATTATTATTATTATCAGTATTATTATTTTATTATTATTATTATTATTATTATTATTATTATTTTATTATTATTATTTTATTATTATTATTATTATTATACTATTACTATTACTATTACTATTACTGTTACTATTACTATTACTATTACTTTTACTTACATATATTACTATTACTATTACTATTACTATTATATATATTATTATTATTATTATTATTATTATTATTATTATTATTATTATTATTATTATTATTATTATATTATTATTATTATATTAGATTATTATTATTATTATTAATTATTATTATTATTATTATTGATATTATTATTACTATTGTTATTGATATTGTTATTATTATTTTTATTATAATAATTTTATTATATATTATAAATATAATTATTATATTATTCAAATTTTATTATATTATTATCAGATATATTTTTATTATTATATATTATTATTGTTATTATTATATTATTATTTTTTTTTCTTTTATTAAATTATTAATAATGTTTATATTTTATTATTAATTAATGTATTATAATTTATATTATTATTATTATTATTATTATTATTATTATTATTATTATTATTATTTATTTTTCTCAGTGTGATTTTGTGACCTGCCGCCGTGCTTCAATGCGCAACCACATACTCACCCACCAAGGAACACGACCTGTGATTGCCTGCCCTGTGTGTGGAGTGACATTCAAGTTGAAGTCTAACTTAAAGTCACATCTCCTTTCGCATACAAGTGAGTTAAATTTTTCTGTGCTGCAGAGTGATGTAAGTTTGACATTTTTATGTTGATTTCAGGACATGCACCGTCTATGCTGGTTTGTTTTATTAGTTTTGTTTATGCATTGATAGC